CGATTCGAAATTTACAACGAAAAATCCTAAATAAAACACACACACACACAACCACCCTTAAGTTGGCTAGTGGAGGTACATGGTGGCAGCCGCCACCTTACGGTGGTGGTGGTGACTGTTATCGTGAATTACGGAGAAATATCACCACATACCACACACAAAAAAATTGTTTTCATTCGTAAAAGAACCCGGCCACCCACCTGGTGGCGTACGGTGATGGCAGCAGCACGGGAAGGTGGCAGAAGCGGCGTTGACGGCGGCAGTGGGACAGTCAGCAATAATGGCGGGAATGTAGCTGGAAGAAGGAGCGGAGAAGGTGGGTGACTCCCACCAGAAACTGCAACAATGACGACGTACCACAAACGAGTCCCTTCCGGTCACCCACTGCTATTGCGGCTGATAGTGGCGATAAAACGATAGCCATCAGCGGCAAAACGAAAAGGAAGAAGAAAAAGAATGGCGATACCGAATGGTGGCCATAGTTGCGCCTTCAGCCGGAGGCAGCAACACGAACGACGACATTCCCCACTATAACGATGCCTCAACGGTGGTTTCCGGCTTGGAGGACGATGGCGGCAATTGGAAGGTTATGAGAGAAGGTGGTAACAACAGCGACTACCGGCAGCAGATCGAAGAAGGGAATGTGGTGACTGAAACATGCTCCTTAGGGTTAGGGTTTGGATGGGGGTGATGGGTTATATACCACGACCTCTAAATTATGACAGTTAACTCCTCAAAACCAATACCTTGATATATAATTATTGATTTTAGGGCTACTATTTATTCATTAATATGTCTATTAATTTATTTAATAAACGGGGTATTACAACTCTCCCCCACTTAAATTAGATTTCATCCTCGAAATCATTCCTTACCATTCCTTACATGCCAAACCACTCAAGTAACATGGCCACAATCCTAGGCACACACTTTCCTTCCCAGGGTAATCTAAATCATCCACCATAGGGTTCTAAAACCCAAAAATAAATGAATACCTTTCAATATGATCACATCTACTTAGTCTGAAGTATGTAGTCTCGAGATGGTCTGACTCCCTGGTAGACCACCCATGTTGAGCTTTACCAAGCTTAATCTTCCTCGAGTGACCGATCAAGTGCACACTTTCTGCCTTGTTTATATCAATGCTACCATTAGTAAAAAATCACTAGCCATGATCAACTATCTGCTAACCTCGTGAATGCTACGGCTACACCCGCAGACTTACAACACTTCCAACACTATCTAGGAACCTTGTGAATGCTACAGCTACACCCGTAGACTTATATCACTTTCCACACTGACTCCACCGCTGATCATGTTCTTACCGTTGATTATTAATCCGAATGCACCAACAGTCACGCATACATACACAATCAAATATCCCAGTCTGAACTCATGTCCTGTCTAAAATCCCTGACCTGTTTCCTGATGCCTGCTATCCGATGCCTTGGGAAAACATGAACTAACTGTTGGAACATTTTCTAAACTCCCAACTCACTCAATCTTCAATCAAAATGGCCACTCGACCGCCTTCCCCCTTGACGGGGATGCAAAACTCGTCCTAGTTTCACATCAATTTCTGCTTTTGAATACCTGATCGATTCTCCCCTACTTAGATTCAACTAAGTCTTCACGGCACGTGAGAATTAAAGGATTCAAAATCCTTCTTGCTTTCTGATAACTCGCTATTGGCAACCCATGCTTACCAAAGCTAACGATCAATTACTAGTCAAACCTTAAGATCACCCATGCTTTGAAATATTGAAGAGTACCCTTGAAATCTGGTCCATTCTGACATCTCAATCCACCTCCCATGCTGACAATTGAAGGCCTTAATCTTCACCCTGGCTGACGAATCTTCGTTCCCACTTCCAGTTTTGCAGCACCATTGAACTTTACCGAACACAACCCATGCGAATATACAGTTCTCTTGAACATCCAATGACCAAAAAATTATACATATAACACCTGTAACTAACACCACCATCATCATGCTACCAGTCCTTTCCTAGAAATGGTAGTGCCTTGAACTCCAGAGTTCTTCCATAGGCCAATTGTCGACCATACTCAAACAAATGATATAAACATTGAACTCTGACTTCACTGGAGAACTATCCACTAATTCCTGACCAAGGATCTACCAAATAATACTTCTAAATGGATCCTAACATAGATCCGGAATAGTAACAGTACACGTGGAATCCATTCGGCAAGATACGTCCATTTGTAGGTTCGTCAAAGGACTTTTCAGCATGCAGAATGGCATATAACAATCGTTGATAACCCAGACAATGGCAGAGAACCGACCAGAGATCTAACTTGTCCAAACTCAGTAAAAAATACAAATTGGTACAATTCCCGATATCCACCTAGAAGTAGCAGAAAATAATAAATTTGCAATCAACTGAAGGATTCTTGATCACCTCCTCCTGAGATACCTTGGTCATCAGAGATTTGCAAAATAGCCAGAGCAGGCGCCTTCACTGCTCCTCCACTTCCTACTCGGATAGTCGGTCTTCATGTGGCCCACCTATCCGTAGTGAAAACCTAATGAGCTTACCCCCCGAGAGCAATCTATGCTGAAATGATTAACCCTGCCACACCTGTAGCCAAGGTTGTATAACTCGCTACTCAGTACCTGCTCGGACGACTGGGGAGTAGCGAGTAGTCGGGAGTACTCGGATTCGGAAATTCATGTAGAAATATTTTTTGGAAAATTATATATGTAAAAATCAGAAGTTAAAATCATAATTTGATTAAAATATATAACCAAAATTAGATAAATGTGAATACATAAAAACTGAAATACACATAATTGTCTCACTACGTGGATAATTACTAAAAATTTAAGATATATATATATATATATATATATATATATATATATATATATATATATATATGTAGTAATAATCACATGTTTGTGTTAAATAATAAATCATTAGGTGCATTATACATACTAATCTTGAAATTCTTGATTTTTTTCTCTTTTTATGACAATTTTGACCATTTGTCTGAGTTTGACCGAGTTGGCCCGAGTAAGATCGAGTAGGCCTGAGTTTGACCAATTTTTTATCGAGTTTGACCGTTTTTTGGCCGATTTTGACTAAATCCGAGTTTTTTTGGCCGAATTGACATTACTTGCCTCGGTGGAGGGCCGATTTCGAGTAATCGGCTGAGTTTTGCAACACTGCCTGTAGCAGCCTAAACCCTTAGAGCGGCAAACTCCCTTATTCACTTTCCCATACATGCTACACTGACTCCGGTCCTGCTGGCCTTTTAACCGATGATCAGAAGTCTTGGGTCTCTTCCCGGTACCCTTTACTATACGCACCTGGCACGACCCTCTCTTCCCAAAGGCTCCAAATCGATCTCGCATCTGCAAACTCTTAGAAGTCATATCCTTCAGGGTCTAACACCTTGTCACGCTCACTAGCTCACTTGCCAATGGCTAAGCTACAACAGCTGGAACATCCTTTGTCCCCAAACTGAGTCGCAAAATCCTCCCCAAAGCTTCTCATATTCTCCAAGACTCTCACCGAGTTGAGTATGGATCCTGTTCTTTTAGTAGTATGGGCCCAATACTACCTTCCACACCTATCCATGCTTTCCTCAGCAATCCACCTAAATCCTCTAAGTCACTTCCTGAAACTGATATACCCAAGTCTCACTAAACCTCACTATTAACCCACTCAAACATATCTTAGGTTCCCGAAGCCACCTAGTGCTTAGTTATTGAAACATTCCCATAAATGTCAACTAGCTACCTCACAAATATAGCCAGAGATTAGATAATCCTTCGAGTAAAAGACCCATCCCTAGAACGGTTAGACTCAGACAAGAGTTGTGTAATAGGGTCAAGTGCATCACTCTGAGATTATACGGCATGTGTCCCATGTGACTTAACATATTCACTTATTAGCTAACTCACATCACTAAGAGTCCCACAAAGCACAAAGCAAGCAACATTTAGACAATGGAAAATATAACCATCATACTCCAAACACACCATTCTACCCTCTAATCAGGAATCTGTACATGCAATTCAAAGGCTCATACAATCAGGCATAACCTAAATAGGCCATCTTATCACTGACTGATCAGTACTAGCATGCAGGTCTACAAGCACATACAATAGGAATATAAGGCATCCTTCCTAGATCCTTAGCCCTAATCTAGCATCCAGTTCACATATTCTCAATTTATATCATAACATAATATATCATAACATGTATGGGTATCTTAGGGAAAACTTACTTGAGCTCGGCTGATTGCAAGCATCACACTCCTTATTCTTTATCAAAATTCTTTATTTTAATTTAAAAAAAAATCATTTTCTTGTATAAATCTTTTAAACCCCATATTTGAGTCCAGACACACCTGAGAGTGTGTCTGAATCCCTCAAACCGGGGCTCTGAAACCAACTTGTAACATCCCAAAATTCAAGACCAAAATTTTCATTTTTAAATAAGTTATTATAAAACCATAAGTATAAGAACATCCCTAAGAGTGTGTCTGAATCACTGATCAGAGTTAGTTGGATTCCCTAAGGATGTCGTCATAGTCATTGTAGGATTTTTTTTATTGGAGTTTTTGTCCCTTAAGTAGAGTCTATATTGACAACGTAAAAAACTAACCAAGATTAATTAATATTGAAATTGGTTTAGCTGTAATTTTTCAAAATAAGCAAAGATTGTTTATAAGAATTATTCAATTATATAAATTATCAATGTAAAGTTATTTATTTTATTTTAAGATGTAGATTACTTGTGAATTTTGAAATAAGAAAAATCAAGTTCCAATGAATTCTTCTATGATATTTAATTATAGAATAATAAGTTTAATATTGAAGACAAAGAAAACGGTGACTTTAAATCACACTAAGAGATCTTTTGTGAAAACTCAATATTAAATTGATATGAATTACTAAAAGTCTTTAGGTTTCGATGTTAATTTATTAATTGTAATATGATTTCCTTCTTGTAGGTGTTAGTATAAGCATGGGATTATTTTTCCTATCGGTGATCAGCTATGCATTGTACAAAATAATCAAGAAAACTAAAGCCAAGAAAAGGAAACAAAGATTTTTTAAACGCAATGGTGGTCTACTTCTTAAACAACAACAAGAAACTGATATCGGTTTAGTTGATAAAACCATACTTTTCACTTCCAAAGAATTGGGGAAGGCCACCGACCAATTTAATGAGAATAGAATTCTTGGTCGAGGAGGTCAAGGTACAGTATATAAAGGTATGCTAGCTGATGGAAGGATCGTAGCAATAAAGAAATCGAAGGTTGTTGATGAAAGCCAACTAGAAGACTTCATCAATGAGGTAGTAATTCTCTCACAAGTCAACCATAGAAATGTGGTCAAACTATTGGGATGTTGCCTAGAGACCGAGGTCCCACTACTTGTCTCTGAGTTCATCCCAAATGGTACGTTATATGACCTTATTCAAGATGAATCTGGCGAGTTGTCAGTCTCTTTATCAATGCGATTACAAATTGCTACAGAGGTTGCTGGAGCACTTTCTTACTTACATTCAGCAACCTCCATTCCGATATACCATAGGGATGTCAAGACGACTAACATACTTTTGGATGAAAAGTATAGAGCCAAAGTTTCTGATTTTGGAACTTCAAGATTTGTATCAATAGATCAAACTCATTTGACTACCTTAGTCAAAGGTACATTTGGTTACTTGGATCCAGAGTACTTTCAATCGAGCCAATTCACTGAAAAGAGTGATGTATATAGTTTTGGTGTTGTTTTATTGGAACTCTTGACAAGTGAAAAGCCTATTTCCTTTACTAGATTTGGTGAAAATAGAAATTTGGCTACATACTTTATGTTAGCCATGGAAGAAGGTCATGTGATGTCTATTTTTGATGCAACGGTTGTTAAGGAGGGTTCTAGGATTGAGTTGCTAGCTATAGCTAACTTAGCAATGCGATGTTTGAACTTTAATGGGAAAAATAGGCCAACAATGAAAGAAGTTGCCACTGAGTTAGAAGGCATCAGACTATCATATGTTCCCTCTACAGATCAAATTAATTTTGGACATGTGAAGCAACACGAGGAGGTATTGCTTTCATATGGTGACTCAACATCAACATCAACATCATTCACATTCGGCGACAACCCTAGTCGTTGAGTTGTGGTAAACCTCATGTTTTCTTTTTGTTAAGTGTTAGTTCTCCTATTATAATTGTGTGTCAATAAATTAGTTGCATATAACGGACTGAAGGTTAAGAGGTATCGTATAAGCTATATCTATTTCTTCTTTCTGTCTTTCATATCATATATATTTTATGCTTTTCGTATTGCATTTTTGTTGTTTAAAAATTGATAAGTTCTTAATAAAAAAAATTGTGTTTTCTGTATCTTATCATTAATCTCTAGAATAGCATCCTAATACGTTAGACATGTTTATTTGTTAACATACTAGGTTAGAGACGCTTTATACACTGTTTGACAACTTAGAAAATCAAAATACATTTCTTAAATACGAAAAATATAAATATACAGTGCTAAAATACAACAAAATATAGAAAATATGAAAGATTATGAAAATACAATAGTAAAAAGGTATGAAATATGACTTTTTATAATCTTTATTTGTTTGTATTACAAAGTTATACTTCCAAGTAGAATGGTATTGTATTTTATTATATTTACACACAAAATCTCACACAAACGTAAAGAAATAGTAAAATTTTAGAAGTACAATGCTGAAATAATAAAAGTTTGAATGTAGAATATTGTATTAGGATATTTTTTGTGAGTAGAGAAAGCTAAATTACAATCATATAAGTACTTAGAATTACCTGTGGAAATCATTTAATTACTCAAATTTGTGGATAGTATATATCAATTTTAAAAAATTCAATGCCCTATTTGCTTGATCTAAGGGATTCTTAGTTGTAAAGTTGTATACATTTCCTTCATCAAATATTTAGAATTATCCATCAATAGAAAAAAATCTGGTCATATAACTGATTTTTTGCAATATTCCAAGAAAACTTCATTTATGAAATTAAAGAAACTGAATTTTCTATGAGCGAATATCAAATTGAACCAACAAGTAGAAGCAGAAAACGGCGACAAAGGAGTTGGGTTTGTTTTATTTTCTTGATAAACCATCCATATATTCATATAGTAAATGTATTTTTTAGATTACAAATTAGAATATTTGTAGAAAATGGATTATGTCTTTTATTTTTTGTTCAAAATCTATTATCTTCGTTTTGTAAAGAAATTATTTTAAGATAGTAAAAAGATTACTGATGATATGTTCTAGTCAAATAGCATTTCATTATTAATTTTACGGATATATTATTTTGAAAACCAATAAATTTTGGACAAAAATTGCAAGAATCGTCTCTGTGGTTATGTCGAAATTGCCACTTTGAGCCAAACAGGTTTGGACTAGCACTTATGGTCCAAAGGTTTTCATTTTTTTGTCATTTTGGTCCAATTTACTTTAAACATTTTAATAAGGACAATTTTTCCTTTGTTTTTACTTTTTTAGTTTTTTTATTTATTCAAATGCTTTTATAATTAGAAGATAAATAAAAATCTCTCTCTCTCTCTCTATCTCTCTATCTCTCTCTCTCTCTCTCTCTCCATTAGAACCTGAATCTCTCTGCATCTATTTCGAGCATCTAAATCACCACCCTCCAAGAACATTCACAAATCAGTTTCAAAACTAGATGCAAAAATCAGATGTTAAAGCAAGCCCTAGCGGACACGATGCATCACCACCAAGAAATGGCGTCATCCCCTGCTTAATCCTTCCTTCTGCCATCGTGAACCACCCTAAATAAGGATGTTTTAAAGATCGAGTGGTAGAGGCCAAAAAGGGAAGGAATAAGTAGACTAAAGCTTAGGAGGAGGAAAGGGATGAGCAAGAAATGGAAAAAATTAACGATGGCTCCTCGTGGGTTTTTTGGGGAAGAAAAAGATGAGGATGGGTTTTCTTAAGAGAGAGAGAGAGAGAGAGAGAGAGCGAGAGAGATTTTCTTTTTAATTTTTCTTTTAGTTATAAAAGTATTTGAATAAATAAAAAAACTGAAAAAGTAAAAACAAAGGGTAAAATGGTCATTATTAAAAAAAATTAAGTAAAATGGACCTAAGTGACAAAAAAATGAAAACATTTGGACCATGAGTGCTCGTTCAAACCTGTTTGCCCCAAAGTGGCAATTTGGACCAAACCACATGGACCATTCTTGCAATTTTGTCTAAATTTTGCATATATTTCGGAAAAGTTATTGTAACTTTTAAAATTACCTATATATCCTTAATAGAACCATTAATTCCTAAATTTCGTTATTTCTTTAAATATCCTTAATATAATCTTTAATTTCTTAATTTCCTTATTTTTAAATGAAAGAACTTTCCGAATATTAAGAGATTACCCGATATTTTAGGTATTATTATAATTTAAAATAGGGATGTATCCCCCGCATTGCGGGGGTAAGTAATGTTCAAAAGGAAAATAATTTATTTATTTGTGTATGGATGAGGGGTTCATTACGTACATCAAACATCAACATGTTTTATTCAAAGACAGGTGCTACAATCAATGGTTACTCATCGTAGATTGTAACGACCCAAAATACGATCCAAAATTTTTTGTTTTAATATTACTAGAATCACAACATTAAACGTTATATAAAATAAAACCATGGAACGAGTAATTCAAAGTCATAGTAACAGGATTCAAACGAGTAATTCAAAGTCATAGTAACAATATTCAAAAGAAGGAGTGTATCAATCATATCAAAAGATCAGAGTAAATTTCCAAGCTAAACTGAAGCTTTGGTGTGTGCCATGCCATCATCCCGAGCTATTCCCCTTACTGGCAGGAGTACCTGAAACCAAAACAGAAACTGTAAGCACAAGGCTTTGTGAGCTCCCCCTAAACTACCACATACCATACATTAACATATAAAGCACATACTGGGCCTTGCCCAATGCATCGGACCGAGGTCCGGACTAACTGGGGCCTTTCCCCCTACATTGGACCAAAGTCCAGAACTGATTGGGACCTTGTCCCTTGCATCGGACCGAAGTCCGGACTAACTGGGTCCTTGCCCCTGCATCGGACCGAAGTCCAAAACTGACTGGGACGTTGTCCCCTATATCGGACTAAAGTCCGGACTAACTATGTCGGACCGAAGTCCAGACTAACTGAACATAGCATAGCATAACATATCAACTAGCAGGAACACATATACTACATACTGCATCGGGCCGTAGCCCGGAACACATAACACATAAATCCTATTTGAGCCACGAAGGCATCAAACATACTAACTACTGCATTGAACTGAACTCCGGAAACTACTGCTAACTTAAATGGGCCGACATTGTGGCCTTAAACCCGTTCCTACTAGAAGAAAACTCACCTTAGAATGCTGACTGCTGAAAACTCAAGTGAAAGATCCTCGACTGCTGTCCCGACTGCTCACCGTCTATCATGACAAGTCAAACACTAAATTAAAGGGGAATCTTTCGATGGGTAAAATGACTATTTTACCCTTACTATGGTGTGGGTCATAATCATTGCCCAAACCCTTTAATTCTTTCTAAGTGCTCCACTGGCCCATTAAAGGCCCACCAATGGCCTAATTATATTAAATTGGGCCTACTTCATATATGGCTCTTCTTGAGCCCAAACTGCCCTTGGCCCCATAATCTGACTTTTGCTGGCCCACTAAGGCCCAAGGACCTATAGTCCAAAACACAGCCCACAACGAGGCCTAAATGCTCAAAACCCATCTGGCAGAATTACTCGGGGCGTATTCCAATGTACGCATAGCGTACAGGCTTGACGACGTGTACGCTGGGCGTACCTACACGTACGCTTAGCGTAATACCCTGATAACCCAACTTTCTATTAAGTGCTTAATACCTCGATTCAGAAGCTACAAACTCAGATCCAAACCTTATTCCATGTCTTAAGCCATAAAGTCACTGACTTGGTGACTCTATATGGCCCAAACCAACTCAAACTCCCCAACTAAATTTCTACTTCCATAAAGGGGGACTAGATCTCATGCATGGACTTAATAGGACCATAAACATTGGAACTTTACTGCTTATGGGACTCATATGACTCTAAGGGAGGCAACCCTGGTCTTAGAAACGAGCTTAAGTCATAAAGTCCCAATCTTGGGACCAAAAAGCTCCATAAACTTGTACTAAGGAGATCTAAGAGGTTAATCATCAAGCTCAAGACTTTTTACCTTGCAGAGATCCGAAATGAAGCACTTCTCCCAGATCTACAAGCTCTAGCTTCCAAGGTTCCTCATTGCCAACCTTTTTCTCCTTGCTTTCAAGCTTTAATCCACCAAAATGGGTTCTCCAAGGTCAAGATCTCATAAAATGAAGGTAGGGACGTTCTAGGGTTTATTCTGAGGTTGGGGAGGCTGATATGAGGGCTAGGGTTGGAACCATAATGTCCTTTATATAGTGCTTAACCCAAAAATAGGGTTTTATGATCTTTAGCGTACGCTGGGCGAACCTCCACGTACGTTAGGCATACGCCTTGAACACCCGCGACCAAATTGCCCCATTATGCTCGGCGTAACCTTGCTTACGTTGGGCGTACCCACGCATGCCCCAACATCCATGCATGGTCTTCCATGCAAACTTTGCTCTATAAGGGCCATTCTTGCCAAATCTTCAAAGTGTCATAACTCCTTCATTCTAGATTCGTTTCTGATGAACTTTATATCCACGGAAAGTTGGTGAGAAATACTACGCTTCTAACAACACACTCTGATCCGAAAACTTCTCGAATAATACCTCTAAATTTAATAAAGGACTAAAACGCCCCTGGCCTTGGCCTCTGAAATTCCATAAATGAATATATTAGAACATGGCGTTACATAGATATCTTTCAGTTTATTATGTATGACAAAGCCCTCTTGGAATTTTAGTTCGTTAATATGATATCCTCTTGGATATAAAATTAAACATTCGGTCATCAGTTAGTACTGGTTTACTAATAATTTTAGTCGGTTAATTGTTTAGGTTGTTGGTTAATAATGATCCAAAATAACAATAAAAAGGAAAGTAGGTTGCTAAAAAAGTTGGAAAATAAAAGGTACATTGTTAGAATCAGTGAAAATCTTTGAAAATGTATGG